TATACACCAGTGTCTAGCATGACCGTGAGTCCTTACTTGTGCTTATTTGGGATTCTGTGGTGACTCTTCCTTGTTTAATTGACGGATTCGATATAATGTGAACAATATGAAGAGAAAATATGATTTGTAAACTCCTTGGAGCGTTGGCTCGAATTATGACATGATTAGGACGTAAGAAATGAACGAAAGAGGAAGAGATGTCATTACTCTCTTGCCGGGACGTGTAAGTTATTGTTGTTGCTCCCTTGCCGGGAATTAACTGTTTATTTGTGTTCTCCCTTGTCGGGATGGTTGAATTGATACTTGTTCCCTTGCCGGGAAATCATTATATAATATGAAATGGGATCGTGTGGCACGCCGACCACTTATATATTGTGAAATGGGATCGTGTGGCACGCCGACCACTTATATATTATGAAATGGGATCGTGTGGTACGCCGGCCACTTATATATTATGAAATGGAATCGTGTGGCACGCCGACCACTTATATATCATGAAATGGGATCGTGTGGCACGCCGACCACGTATTTTGTGTTAGAAGAGATTTGGTTGTAGTTTCCTTATTTGTTCCTACCGTTCTATTTTATCTGTTATCCCCAAAAGTATGCTCCCCTCCCAGTCTTAATTATTACTTTCCGCTGTTATTTTTTTCGTAGTACTTGTATATAAATATCTGCACAGGTTGATTGGTAGTCCTGTCTAGCCTCGTCACTACTTCGCCGGGGTTAGGCCAGGCACTTACCAGCACATGGGGTTGGTTGTGCTGATGCTACACTCTGTGCATCTTTTTGCACATATCATAGTACCGGAGCAGGAGCTTTTGGACAGCAGTAGGAGCGTTGGGAGCTTACTTCAGTCCGGAGATTCCCGAGGTAGCCTTGCTGGCGTCCGCATGGCCCGGAGTCTCTCTTATCTCTGTTTTTCGTTTGATTTCCTTTGTATCGGATCACACAGTACTGTATTCTTATTCAGACTTTGTATTTAGCATTCAGTAGAAGTTCGTGAGTTAGTGACACCAGATCTGGGTAGAGGTATATTTGAATTTCCGCACTTGGTTTCAGTTATTTATTTTTCGAAACTTCCGCTTTTATATTAATTGCCTCGTTCTTCTTTATACTGTTAATGATGTTGAGAGAAATATTAAATTAATTGGCTTGCCTAGTTCCTATTAGTAGGCGCCATCACGACTCCCGAGGGTGGGAAATCCGAGTCGTAACAACGTTGTATCCATAAAATGATACAATACAATACAGTAGCGTACAATGCATTATAAAATGGTGGATAACAATCATCCAAACATAGTGTTAACTGTCAAAGCCAAACTTTAAATATTTATGCCTAAACTTCATACATCTTTACCTAACCTCCTAATTTGACTTCATTTCATATTTACACTCCTCAACTCACAGTATGATATTACATACTCATATATATGCTTTATAATCTTTGTGTGCTTTAACTATTATTTTATGGAAAATGTTCCAACCAACGAATCCTTAATCATAACGAATACATAGCATATATATATATATATATATATATATATTATATGCTATGTATATTATAATAGCATATTATATTATAACAGCCAGATTTTATTTATTATAATATAATAGCATATTATATTATAACAGTCAAACCTCTCTATAACAATCATATATTTTTGGTTTTTATAGCAAAGTGCTGTTATAGAGAACATATATTATATTATAACATATCATGAAAATTGACTCCATAAAAAACTTAACTTTTATAGTGAAAGATTATTATATAGCGATGCTGTTATAGAAAAATGTGACTGTATTTTTACTAGAGAACAAATGATTGGAATGTTAAATATGAAGGTGGTCAAAAATTAAAGCTTAACTTTTGGTGCATGAAATTAGTAGCCAAGAAAAAGTTGAATTTGAAGAGTTAGAAAGAAAAAGTCAGGCAAATGCTAGTTGAAACACCTGAAAATAGTACACAAAAACTTGAATTGATTGATATAATCCAACGGTTGGGAGTTGCATATCATTTCGAAAATGAGATTCAAACATCTATTAAGAACATCTTTGATGCATTCCAACAGAGTGAAAATGAAGATGACAACCTTTACGTTGTTGCTCTTCGTTTTCGACTAATGAGACAACAAAGGCATTACATGTCTTCTGGTACGTAACCTTCTAGCTCCGCTTCTGTTATAACTAGTTTAATGTATCTCGGATATTAATTAATTACCATGATGTTAAATCGGATGTGTTCAAGAAATTCACCAACAAAGATGGAAGGTTCAAGGAAACTCTTACCAAAGATGTACAAGGATTATTAAGTTTATATGAAGCAGCACATTTAAGAGTACATGGGGAAGAAATTCTAGAACAAGCTCTGAGCTTTACCATAACTCATTTGGAGTCAATGGGCCCTAAATTGAGCAATTCATCACTTAAGGCCCAAGTTAGTGAAGCCTTAAGCCAGCCCATTTGTACAAATCTACCAAGGTTGGGAGCAAAGAAATACATGTGTATGTATGAGAACAACGAAGAGAAATTTTCATAAAGCACTATCTTAGTAGTAATTAGCCATCTATAGATACCATTTGCTATATTACGGATTATAGATACCTTTTATGTGGTTATAAGATGTATTGATGTATTTAAGCTATTGTATTCATGAATACAGTAGCAAAAATAGGCGTGAATCAAGGAAGTTCAGCTAATCAGTTGTTGTATTCGAGTGTATTCGACTGTATTCGTGGAGTGAAACATGGGATTACAGCTGGACAGATTATTGTATTCGACTGTATTCACGGCGTGAAATAGGGGATTACACTGTTTTTAAAACGGAGAGTGAATCAATTAACATAATAGACTCCTAATATAACTCAACAAACTCAATTATAACACACAAATTTTGTATTTTCAGTTATAAAAAAGATTCTCAACCGAGAAATACCCCAAAAACATAGCAATCTTCAGAGAAATTATATAATACATCTGAATACATAAATTATATCAATTAAAAAAAACTTATGAATACATTCATGGCATATAGCGAGACAGTGAATAGAATGAAATACATAGAATATAGCAGGATATATTGAAATACAATGAGAAAAAAAGACATTGAATAAAATGAAATACGTGGAATACAACGAGATACATTGAATTACAATGAAAAAAAGACAATGAATACAATGAAATACATGAAAATATATTGAAATATATTAACAGAAAATCAAGTTGCTCAGCCCCAAACTCCATCGTCTTTGTTCAAGAACAAACCCTAATTTTTGGCGAATCTGCCGTTCACCGGAAGTCGGTAGTGAAAACGCGCCGCCTTCGTGGAAATTTCACTCTGAGTTGTTTGGCAAGATGACTTCTTCCAATTCTGGTGAGATCATGCTTAACGAATTGCTGCTATATTTAATTGCACAATCTCCCACCTTCTTTGCCACTCCGCCGCCACCGAAATTACTTTTTTTGGTGTCTTTGAAATATGGTTCTGTATTATTGTAGTCCCACTGATCAGCCCATGAATTCTCGTATGCACTGTTCTTCTTCATATCTTCTTTCTTTGATCAAAGATGAGAATTTTGGAAAAAAGAAAGAGTAATTAGAGGAAGGTCCACGAAACTTTGGGAGAAAAGAGAGTTGATATTAGAGGAAGAGGTCCACGAAACATTGGGAGAATGGGATGTATCAAAGTAGAGAGAGAAAGAAAAAAGTGTAATTGATTAGCATATTTAGTGGCTTAGGGCTATGAGGAAATCAAAATTAAATATTTTGCTATAAACCTTAAAAGGTATCTATAGAATATAATTTTTTTAAATGATATTTATTTAAAATAAATAAGGTGTTAACCTTTGCTATAGGAGGTAAAAATTCCAACTACGAATCACATAATAATTTGCTTTTGAAATTTGCAAAATTGGATTTTAACATTGTGCAAAAGTTGCACCAAAGAGAGCTTGGCTTACATGGTACATACACTGTTATTATATCCTCTTCATTCACATGAATATGGTATATACTAGTAACAAATGGACGGATTGATATATATATATATTTAGCTAGCGAATAAAATTAGTTTTTTCCGACCAGGTAATTCTATATTTTGCCCAATTGATAAAGAGCTACTTTCATTGATAGCACACTATTATAAATATATTACAAAAGATTAGCATTAATTAGTGATTAACAAATATGGAAGTAAAATATTTATACATATAGCAGATTTAATTCAATTCAAATCAGCATGATTCAAGCTGTTTAAAAAGGTAGTCCTAGTATTTAATATCTTTCCCTATTGTTTCTCTCCATTCCATAACATATTTTAAGTTTTCGTTAGAAACCAATCCATTCCATAATTGATTTTTTCCTTTCCATACATGGACCTTTTATATAATGTAATGTACCACATTATACATTTTTATATTCTGATGAAATAAAATACATATATTTTATGAAAAAATTATAATGTATGTTTGTGGTATATATACATTATAAATCATATTTTTTAAGGAAAATTCATGTATATATGCATATATTGTTTATATACGTCTTTATATTTAAATACATATCATCGATCCATTTCATAACAATTTTTTTTCCTTTTTATACATGGACCTTTTTATTCAACTTAATCTTAGCAAAATTATATATCTGTATATTCCAACGAAATAAAATACATATATTTCGTGAAAAAAAATATAATGTGCTGTTGGGTTCCTCTAAAAAGAAATTCTCCAGGTCTTTGTTTCTATTTCTGTTGGGTTCCTGTTGGTCTTCCTCTTCTTTTTTTTTTTAAATTTCTTTCTACTTTCTACATTTTATTTTTCAGTGTCTAATTTTAGGGTTTGGTCTTCTCTGATTTTGAGTGAGTTGTCATATGTATTGCATGTGTTACCTATGTCTTGAGATGAATAGTGTAAATGCTTAATTTTTGCCATGTCTTTTTATTCTATATATATATATATATATATGTGTGTGTGTGTTCTTATTTGTATGTATGTAGGTTTTGAGAGTTTTATTATGATTTAATTAAGAGAGGAACAAAACTTTGGGCTAGTGTTATTTTAAAGTGAAATGGGCTAAAAAAATCGGACCAAATCATTGGCCCAATTGCACCAACCCAGACCAATTGATGGCTTGCCAAGACCCGGATCAAAACGACGTAGTTTCATAATAAAACTACGTCGTTTCACTAAATGAAACAAGATCAAATCTTACCCCTCCATTCCATCTTGATCCAATGGATCTCATTGACTCTTGGCCTAGGTATTTAAAGCCTCCAAAATCTGAAAAATTTCCCCATTTCCACCCATAATTCTTTTCTCTTTTTCTCTCTTATCACTCTCTCCCCTCTCTCTGCCACGCCGCCCCACCGTCGCCCGTCGCCGCCGGCCGGAAATCGCCGCCGCCGGCCGGAAATCGCCGCCGCCGGCGGCAACCCTCCAATCCACCCTAAAATTTTACCATCTCTTCCCCTCTTCCTCCTCTTTCTACCTATACCACTCATATCCTCCAAATCTCCACCAATCTCCGTAGATCTACAAAAATCCGAAACCCTAGCCGCCGCCCACCACCCCAAATTTCGGAAATTTTACACCACCGGCCTCCTCTTCTCCCCCTCTTTCCATATCTCCGACTCAAAAATAAAAAAAAAAACCCACGCCGCCCTAGCGCCACCACCACTGCCCTAGCGCCGCCGCCACTTCCGCCCACTGCCGCCCGTTTCTTTTCTCTAACCGGCCTCGAGCAAGGTTGTGTCGTTGATATTATTGAAACCGGACTCGGATTCACCGGAATTTTTTGGTCTCAAGAATATCAACAATAGAAGCTTGCTCGAAAGTCGTACCACTGCCTATCATCGTCTCCCGGATGCTCGAGTATATGGTAAAATCGCAATCCCCGCCCCGTTATTAATTTTCTAATTTTTTCTTTTTGTTTTGAGTTTTTAGTTTAGAGTTAGTTTCTGTCTTGTTTCTTTATTCTAATCCATTTCTGATTATGTATGTGTTTGTTAAATCGCTTCAGCGATATCGTGCGTTCCGTTTGGCTTTAATAGTTAATTTTGTTTGCTCATGTTGGTTCATAATACATGTGTTGAAATTTAACTACATGTTTTAATACTTGGTTTAATTTGAATCAATAGGTTGATATTGGTGTTGTTAAAATCTGAAATTTAGATATTTTGTAGGGTACTAGTAGCTTGCTTTTAGTAGGGTGGCTGAAGTGACCCTTTGGCTCCTGCCATAGCAGATTTCAGGCTGTCCTTTCACCTTTTGGACAACCTTTCGCACACAAATTTAGCCTCTTTTGGACAGATTTTTGTTGAACAAAAATCTGTCCAAAAAGTTGGCTTTTCTTTGCCTATTTAAGGGCTGCCCTTTCTTCATTAAAAGGGACTAGAACACACTTCCATAGACATTTTTTTAGAATTGCTTAAACACACAAAACATAAAAAATTTCAGCAGTTGAACACATGAAAAGTAAGCTGAAATGGTGAGCTTTAGGAGTGAATCTTAGAGTGCAAACTTTTAGAAAAGTATAAGTCCTCTTTAGAGTTCGTTTCTGGGTTTCTTCTCGAAGTTTTCGGGCTGTTTTAACATGGATTTGCTGCTGGTTTCTGCTGTTTTGCTGCTGTTTTTATGCTGCTTTAGTTGCTGAGCTTCCATTCTTCGTTGTTGTATTTATTATTCTGCGACTCAGGTAACTCTTTAATCTAATGTTGCAGATATTTTCACATTAACAAGAAGATTGGAACTCATCTTGATTGTTGGGAGCATATCCATTTAAATAAATGAGTGCTTAGCTAAATTTCTTTATTGTTTAAATATATCTTGTTGTAGTTCATATGTAAAAAATAAATCCTTGGTTGATCAAACACTCTTTATTCATGTGTTATTTGTCTTTACTATCTATTATAGTTTTGATGCATATAAAATGAGATGTTTCAAGTAGGTTGTAATGTGCTTAAAGACTCCTTTTGCACCTTGGCAATTCTGGCCAGTTCATGATAGGCTATTCCTTAAAGAAAAATAACAAAAGAGCCATGCTTGAAACCTTTATTTATTGTGATAAAATTCAGATTTTACATGTGACCATCTCTGCTAGGATTTTAGATTTTTTTTTGGTAGAAAGTGGCTAGATCTTAAATAGGTGTTTGAAATTGCTAGTTAAAAATAAGGGTTAATGGCTTAGAACAAAAGAGGCCAGGCTCGCAATTTACCCCCCCCAATGAGAGGAAAGATATGAACAATTTTTATTTATTTTTTTGTTTTTTTTTTTTTTGGCCAATTAGGTATCGATCTATAAATTTTTTTTTTTAGTTTTTTTTTTTAATTATAAAATATATTTTGAAGTTACCAGAACACAAAAGTTGAGATGATAAAACGAAAAATGGCTATCATTACAAAGACGGGCCTTTGATACTTCCATAGAAGACATAAAGGATTCTCAGCAAAAAGAGCCAACACAGGAACAAAATGAATAAATTAGTGAAAAAATAATAAATAAAAACTATTTTTACAAAAAATAACCCTCTGTTACTCCTAGAGGGGTTCCAAAGCTATTTAGAAAAAGAAAACAAGACAAAAACTAATAAAAATTGGTTATTCTTTTGCAAAAACAGTCTTCGGTACTTCCAGAAAGGTTTAAAGCGATGCTTCGATAAAAATGGTCAGACATAAGGGCAAAATGGTAAAAGGTTGTAAATATGGATAAAGTAATAATATATTTTTTTTTTTTTTACTACAAAATGGCCCTTCAGCATTTGACCAAAAAAATGCTCTCCCTTTTTTTCGAAAATATTATCACACGCGGAATTCTAGCTCCCCCTTTTTTTTTTGAAAAATGTGGGCTGAACCCGATGGAGTTGCATACGTATCTCACATCCGGTGAGAATCTGAAACTCGCGGCGAGTTGTAAAACTAAGTACCCTTTTATTTTTTATTTTTTTTTTGAAAAATTATCTTTACAACTCACACCAAACTATTACAATATATATATAATAATAATATTATATATATATATTATATATTATATATTATATAATTTTTCTTTTTAAAAAAGGTTTATTTGCACTAAACTAGAGAATTATGTCTTTTCTCTCTCCCTCTCTCTTTTTTTTTTTTTTACTTCTAATAATTACACTATTTATTTATTTATTTATTTTTTTTAAGACGGTCGAACATTGCAAGTAAGCTTCCAAATGATGTATCAAGTAGCACATACTGAACATGATGGTTCGAAGAGGATATCTGTCTTATACGGACCCAACCCCTGTGCCGAGTTTCGCTAAGTCAAATGACTGATGCAATATACAAGCGACTATAGGATGAGCGTTTGTTCTTCTAGGTTTAAATCTTATTGGAGAAAGCACTAGACTGGCTTACTCGAGCGGACAACTTGAGCTCAGAGAGGTCAGTATACGTAGCATTGCTTTCCGGTTAACTGTGTGCTCCCCGCCTAAAACATGTGTGACTAAAATCCTTCACGAGTGGACAAGCACCTCGGCTATCTCAAAGAAAGCGGGCTATGTCAAGCAAATGCCCTCTTTTTTTAATTTCAAGGAAGACTCAGAGGGGTGCGTGAGAAGACAGTTTATTTACAGTTCAACAATATCAAAGCGAATAAAAAGCAAATAAGTAGCACATTATGCCCAAATAAGTCACAGATATAAAAAATTAATAAGTAATAAAAGTCAACATGTACAAGCTCGAATTCTAGTTGTTCCCCAGCAGAACGCCAGAGCTGCACACCCCTTCTTCTACTCCCGAAAAAATGTATGTGTAGTGGATATTATGGTGGGTTAAGAGTTTTTCCAATTGAAGTGACAAATTTGAGTAGGGATTATTTTATTTATAGAGTCGCCACTTGGAATTGGGTTTTCGGTTTCCAAGTCACCTTTTATTTGAATCCCTATGTAAGAAAAGTTTGACTCTATTTTATCAGTCCGCGAAAACAAATTCGGTAAGAATATTCTGTTGGACCGGGAGAAGGTATTAGGCATTCCCCTGAGTCCGTGGTTCTAGCACGGTCGCTTTATGTGACTTAAAACTTGGCTTGAGCTAATTTTGGAGCAAACTGTGATTTTATTATTTTCATGTTTTACCTAATCCGCTTTTAATTATTAAAGTTGTTAAAAAAAAGTATGATATAAATAGTATAAAATGTCCTAACCGCGCTATCGAAAGCGAATATGCGACCAAAACGAATTTTATAATTTTGTCGTAACAGCGCTACGCAAGCGAATCCGCAGTTTATGACAAAGGATTATTAGCACGCTATTATTTTCAGAAAAAATTCTGTATTTGTGCTTTGAGAAAATTATTTATTAAAAGGTTACTATCGCTATTTAAAAAGTACTATCGCTGCTACGCGAGCGAATCGCGAGTATGGTGAAAAGGATTAGAAATTTAACTAAAACTATAGATATAGTAAGAGATTAGTGAATTAAATTATTGAATGTTTAAATATCACGCCACGCAAGCGAATCCTGAATGAAAAGAGTTAAGCGTGCCTACTGATTGCCGTAGCAATGCAACTAATAAAAAAGAAAATGTGTTAATTAATTAATAACAGAAATCTGATTTTATTATTATCTTCTAAGCCTTATGGTTGGAAAAATTGTGCAAAATAAATTGTTGGACCAACTAATCTTTTTTAAAGAAATATGCAACTTCTTGTAAAAGGAGAAATGAGCCAGCTTATGGATTGTAGAAGATGGGCCAGCTTTTATTTATTGAGAAAATTGGGTCAATTTGCTTATTAGTTATGGTATTGAGCCAACATCTATAAAATAAATGGAACAAAATGTTATAGACTTCTTAAAGGATTGGCCTATTGGACAGAATATGCCTTGGCCCATTATTGAGCTCCGAAAATGGGCATAAGCTGAAAGCCCAATGAATTTCAAATGCTGGTTACTAAGATAGCCCACCTG